CACCCAATATGACTATATTTGGAGATATAGCCTTTAAGGAGGTAATTAAGGTTAAATGAAATCGTAAGAGTGAAGCCCTAATACATTGGGACCAGCATCTTTATAAAAAGAGGAAGACACATCAGGGGGAAGTACAGAGAACTAGCCATGTGTGGACACAGCAAGACGGTAGCCACTGACAATTCAAGGAGAGAGGCCTGAGCAGAAACCAACCCTGCTGGCACCTTGATCTTGGGACTTCTAGCCTGTGAGAAAACAAATTCCTGCTGTTTAAGCTACACAATCTGCAATATTTTACTAGCAAACAAATACACACTGTTACCTCAAAATTTGTACCTACAACAAGCATTTGGACATCTCTAAAGGTTTTATATTACATGTCATTTTCAGTTAAATTAGCAATTCCATCTGTTAATTCCATATTTCAAGAGAGGTATAAAAATCTTGAGCTAAACCTGAGGTGGATTATTCGATCACATTCATATTTTTGACTCACACTCTATGATAAGTTGTGTGAATAACATGATGACCACTGCTCTCCACAAGTGTGTAAACAAAGAGAAACAACTAGAACATGAGATGTGCCATAAGTCTGTTACCATGCCATGTTCTAGGAATGCAGGACGTCTGAAGAAACCAAAAAACAAAGAAGAAATCATAGGCCCTGTTATTTCTCTTTTTTGTTTACAGCAGATGGTGTTTATCAATCCATATAAATATACATTATCAAAAACTGTATCAACTTGTTTAACCTTTATTCTCAAAAAAAGAAAAAGAAAAAGGCACACACCCATAGTGCCTAAGTAGTAGCTATTACATAATGATAGCTATTGTGTTCCCCAAGTACTATGAAGAGAGCATTATATACATTATTATTCCAGTCAATCCTCACAATAACCCTATCCTCGTTAGGTATTATCATCCTCCTTTTTACAAATAATATATCACCTAATGGGGTTCTTTGTATTTTATCTTCAAATATCTCAAAAATGATATTCTTGATGAATCTAGATCTATAAATACACTCTCAATCTAAAATATTCACTACTTCTAAAACTATTTTAAGTCCTATCTAGACATTTACAGAAGAGTAATTATATCTACATATAACACAAGATGATGTAGAGATTCGAACCAAATTCCTAAAATTGTACATATTTCCATTAAAAATCAACTGAATTAAGTCATGAATCAAAAACAGTCAAATATCAGCACTTCATATAGTTCAATTTAATATATGAGATGTAAAAAAACAAAACAAAAACCTTACCTTAATTAAAGTGACCCTTAATTAAATAAAATACAGATGGTTTTATGGGGAAATACTTTTCCTACACTATCAGAAATCAAGAGACTGACTCTTTCAATTGGTTCAACATGTGAGATAGTTTTTCACCCAACACAACAATTTACTACTGTAACTCCATCCTAGATCCCAGTTTGTCCCATCTCTGACACAAACCTGGTTTCAGATTAACAATGTATTAACTATGTGCTAACCATGTGCAAAGTTTTGTTCTAGGTATATGGGATTTCCTACCATCTCACTCTATGGTCTTCTATTAAGTGTCATTAAGCTTAAGACATAGAAAATAGCCTAAAAATAGCATTAAACTCAACAAATGTATTAAGTATACTTCCATTAAAAGCACACAAAAAATGGTAAAAAGATCTTGCTTCAGAGAAAAAAAAAAAAACCTAAACTTAAGCAGGTGAAATCAGAATCAACCTTTCATAAACAATGCTGGTAATCTACTATAAGCAATATACTTTAGAAAGCAAAACATAATTTTCTCTTCAGCTGCTCTTCATTATTGGAAATATTTTAAGACATGTTAATAAACAGAAGACCTAAATCATGAGTTTGTTTTCTTTATGCACTTAAAATGCCTTGTGGTCCTCTATATGCCTGCCACTCAAAGTGTGCTCTGAGACCCACAAGCACCATCCTCATCTGGGAGCTTGTTAAAAATGCAGATTCTGAGACTCATCCCTGACCTGCAAAATCAGAATCTGCATTTTAATATGATTTTAAGGTGATCCTATGCACACCAAAGTTCACTGCCCTACAACATAGGTTCTTAACTTTGGCCTTCAGGGCAACATGAGTTTCACGAATCCCCTGAAATTTCACGCAGAACTTTTGCAGGTGAATATATGTACATTTTACTGGGGAAAGACTCTAAATATTTTTTACCAAATTCTCAAAGTAATTACCCCAAATAGATTAAGAACTACTGCCCTACAGGATTCTATGCCATGGTTTAAAAGTCAAAATATTTCAAAAACTATTTACGCTGCTCTCAATGAGGTCTGTTGAAGAATGACAAGAATGAAGGTCAGAACGTCACAGTGGGTCACGAAAGACCTTATCTGAAGAATTTATTCACACCATGCAAGAACTATGCCAAGAAACCAGTTTGGAGACATCTAAATAAATAATTCTCTCCATGAGGTTTGAGATTAAGAATGTGCACTTGCAGAAGATTCAAACTGAGAAGTAAATAAATATAAAGTAGACATTTTTTTAAGAGAGGATGCCATCAGATGACAGGGCAGAGCTGAATTCCTGTTGTAAGAGCTCAATCAGCAAATCTCTAATGTGAATTCTGTTTGATTTGGGATATGGGAGCATTTTTAAAAAGTTAACTTCCAAGTACATTCTTATAATACTTCCTTTATGAGGAACCCCCAACACACTTCACCAGTCCCACTAGCTTCACCTTCTCTGGATCTTAGAAGATAAAACAAAGAAGAAATAGAGCACAAAAATGAAAAGGGATGTGCTTGTGATATTCAGTGAGTTAATGAAAAAGAATGGCTCCTATCCAGAAGGTTCTCAGTGATATATGAGAACTGTGTATATATTTCATTCTTTTATCTTATCATCTAACCATCTCTTTGGGACGTGTATTATCCAGAAGCACAGACTATGTCTAACTTTTGTTTCCTTAAACCATAGTGCCTGATAGAATTTAATTTTCTTGTCAGGCACCTAAAATGTAAAAAAAATCCATTAACTGGTATTTCCTGAGACTGATTCTTTATTGTACTACTACTGTAACTTGTCATCGGTGATGAGTCCAATACCTGAAGTCTGGTCTCCAGGGTAGATCTGCATCCTACCGTACCATTCATTCCATGCAAGAAGAGACAATACTAGAAAATATTCAGGGAGGTCAAGTCTTCTCTATTTCCTCTTTCTATTTCCATGGGTATCAGGCAAATATCTGGTTCATTTCTTAGCTTGACTTCTTAGAGCTATAAAAGTTCTTATTATCCAAGTGCAACAGGGATTATGATAAGACTTTAACATACTGTTAACTATTAATGTACCTCATTTACACAATAAACATATCCTAATAAAGTATAAATTATAAATGTATATTCACTCATATTGTAGAACTGTGTCCTCTCAATAATGATAACTATATAAAAAAATAATGCTTTATACATATGATAGTCTCTCAGACATCCATCAAATGTAAAGGCTAATATTTTAGATACATAATTAACTTGGTTATTTGCTTTCCAGCCCAAATAGTTTAAACAGTGGCAATTCAATTTTTGACATGAAAGAGGAATAATAATAAGGACAGGGATATTGACTGTAGTGATACTTAATAGAAGTGAGGAAAGAAGAGTAATAAAAATCGGGCAGCAACTAACATTTGTACAAGCCTGTGGGGACACACGACACTGTCTTTACTTGCCAGATGAAGACATAAAAGTTCCAACAGATAAAACAATTACCTAAGATTACAAAGTCATGCAGTGACAATGGGGGAGAGGAGAATAAGGAGAGTAGTAAGGGCATATAGCAAAGGACAAGGATAAGACCATGAACCCAGCTGTACCTGGAGAAATAAAGCAATAGACAGAGACAAGCACTTAGAGCAAACAGGTTAAATGAGTCCAGGAGTAAATGGTTCCTCACATGTCACTGAACATTTTAAAAGTAAATGATATAATTATAAATACTAATTTAAAAAAATAAAGTGGCAGAGCCAGAATTTGTCTGACTCCAATGGTCATGTGTCAAACACCAGACTCACGGAGAAACTAATCCTGTTATACAAATAAGTATTTACAAAACATTTTTTTTAAATATGTTTTTATTAATTTTTTTAGAGAGAGAGAGAAAGGGAGAGGAAGATAGAAACATCGATGTGAGAGAGACACATGGCTCGGATGCCTCCTGCATGCCCCCTACTGGGATCAAGCCTGCAATCCGAGCATGTGCCCTGACCAGGAATTGAACCAGGACCTCTCAGTCCATGGGACGACACTCAATCCACTGAGCCACACTGGCTGGGCTACAAAAACACTTTAACAAGAAATCTCACATCACAGGAGGTTTATTTTTAAAAACACATTAAATACACTTCCAACAACGAAGGATATAAAAATATGTACTAGTTAAGCCACTTAATCTTATTCTTTACCTGAAAAGGACACAGATCTAATCTAAGAGGTTATGGATATGTCACAAAATTCCCAAATTCTCGATAATCACTCAAACATTTATTTCCCCAGAAATGTATTCTCAATTTTCTGGAACCTTTTTATATTTTCAATCTGAACCATCACTCAAGACTAAGAAATTCCTTTGTTCGTTCCCTACTGTTTAAAGTAACATCATTTATTGGTCTCCAGAAACTTTTTTCTAGTTCAATGGAGGTCACCTAGATCTCTTTCTCCAGGTCAGGTAAACTCTACTATTCCCTTAAAGTAGTACCTACCCAGTCAATATACAATAAAAAAAAACAAAACCCTGAAACTTATTAAAAATGGACAAGTGCATTTAAAATAATTAGAATCTGAGATATCTTAGTATATCTTCAGTTTCCTTAAATCGGGGCCTATTTGTATTTAAAATAATATTTAATTCCAGAATATCACAAAAGCTGTAATGAATGGATATATTCTTCATCACATCTCAAACATACTGTATTTATATCGAACAACAGTCTCACACCTCCAGTGCATATGTTAGTTACCTCTTCATCTTCTTCATCTTCAACATCCAGAATTCCTGAATCCTGCTCAGACTTGGGGCTGGTGCTTTCTAGTTCTGTATCAAAAATTGTATATGCATCTTTCTTAGATTTCCTCTTGCTACCTATTCTGGGTTGTTGTTGCAAGACGATGTTATCCAGGTTTCTTTGTTGTTGGGCCTAGGACAGAGACATCACACACACATTAGAATAAAAGAAAAAAGAAAAGAAACAATTAAGCATTCAAAAAACTTCTGATTTTCAACAAATTGATGTCTTAAAGAAAATATAAAAAAATGCCTTAATATATAAAGTTTTAGTCCCAGAAATAAACCCAAACATATTCATGTATACATTTTTTAACCCTCTTGATTTATTTTCCCAGTTTCCATGGGGGGGAAAAGAGATAATCAGTCAATATTATCACAAGTCTTTTTAAATATACCCACTAAATCGCCACAAAAAAAATGGAATCTATACATTTTCCTCTAACTAGCCAAGAGATTAGTTCAAATAACCAAATATTTATGTCACACAAGATAGAAGCCATGCTGCAACCCGGTGGTGGGGGAAAGGAACAGGAGCCTTTATGCTTAGGGGACTCTTAGAACAGTTGTGTGAATATAAGAAATCAACACAATTCTCATGATTAAAAAATAAAATATCTTAATAGAGTGATTTGAACTAACTAATCCAATAGTATTTCATGACCTGAATCTGTGGAAAACAGTCTTAAAGGATTTCTCCTGAACTTTTAGAGAAAAGGAAGGGTAATCCCCTCAGCTTAATAGAAAAAAGACTCAAATGATGGTGTGGTTCAGTAAATACAAAGAGGTGAGAAGTGTCACTTTCCAGGGTCAAGAACAGAAGTATAAAACCAGATAGTATTAGAGCTGGAAGTGACCTTAGTCACTGCTCAGGAAACTGAGGCTAGAAGATGAAGGATTTGATGGGGTCTAGTTAGTAGTAAATCAGAATCTCAAAATGTGATCTTCTAAATGCCACATCATTGATCTTCCCTGTATACCAACAGTCCCTCAAAGCATGGCGACATGTTTCCCAAAAAAAGGGGGGGGGATGATCAAATACATGAAAAACACTGCATATCATGTAGCCTTTTTGTAGATATATAATGCTTATTAACAAAATAAAAACAGGGGGGAGTCCATTTTAAGAAACTTCTTTAATTTGATTTAACCCAGCATGTTCCAAAAGTATTTCACAATGAAAGTATCCTTTAAAAAATAATAAATACTTAGTATCTTCCTTAGTATACATTCCTTAATCAACATGTGCTATTTCTCCTCAGTGACAAACAGATATTCATTCAGGAGAAAATCAACTTCCAAATATTCTGAGGGGGATTAAGGAATTCAAGACAAATATTAAGTATAACATGTTAGTCCAGGCACTGGTTAAATGAGACAATTATAATAGGACAGAGAAAAACTTGAACTATGTGAGCTAGTTTCTGCCAAGAAAATGAAAAGAATCTACATTCCAGAGATTCGAATCAATGGACAAACTTGTTTCTCTACATAATACTCATTGATATTTTGCTTTGACTTACATAAAATATGTGGCTTGGGTAACAAACTGAGGAGAGAAGGCATCCAAAAACATTTCATTTAGGTTGGTACATAAGACATACATAGCCTTCAAGCATTAGAATGAGATACAATGAGATACACTATTCTTTCTTTTCCTGTCAAAAGTAACTTCTTCCCCATTACTTCTAATGCAAACCACACAGAAAGGGGTCAAGAACTCTGGGGAGGCACAAAGGAGGGAGGAGAGAACACCCTAAAGCTTGCATATTTAAAAGGCAAGCCCTCAGCTAGAGAGTGGCCACGTGTCCCTTAACTCCGTCTCTTCTTCGTGCACAGCAACACCAAAAGCTTTCAAAAGTTGGTCTTCTTTTATTGAACCCCAAGTTACTTATTTTTCTTCAATAATCAATAAAATAGTTCCAGTGTATCAAAAGCAATCAAGAGGAGCCACACTTCAATACTGTCATTTAAACTTGAAAGGACACAAATCTCCAAGTATCCCATGGAAGTAATTTTCAAACTCCTTTGACTTGTTCTTTTTAGGTGGTATGTATGTGGTTTTCCCCCTCAGTTTGGAAGAGCACAAATGAAGATAGCAAACCCTATGTTAGAAAGAAAAGCATTTCAGGTACTATTGCAAAGCTCCATCACAACGCGGAGTCTCTGTTAGAGTTATCAAGGCTTCGCAGTGTGTAAAGAAGCAGTCAGGGCAGATCGGCCAAGTGGGGACCGGCCAAGTCAGAAACACTGAATCCTCAGGTAGACTGATAAATTAAATACTCAGATGTTGCCCATTATGGCTGCAAATGAAAATGACCACTTATTCAGAATGTATGTTATGGGACTGACAAGAAGTGGAGAAGAGTAAATATAAATACCAACATATAAATACATATAATATATATTAAAATAACAAGTCCATGGGGGGAACACACCCTTCAGAGCTCTCCTCTCATATGCTAAGCTACATCAACCAGGATCTCTCTTCTGTCCCTCCAGAGGGAACCTTGATCACCATGAGCCAAAGAAGCAGCTGCCTGATTTCTGGCCCCTGAGTTGAAGTGGAGGCAGGAGGATATGAAGCATAAAAGTAGCACTTAGACCTTAAAAAGCATGTAGGCATTTTTTTTCCTTAGTTGTTACTTATCTTTGTGAATAATTTTTATACATTTAACCACCTCTTCCTCGAGTTTCCCTCATATATATTCTTCTCTAGTTTCTTTTATATAGAAATTAAGCCCGGTTTATTCCTCCATCCCTCTCCTCTGACCACTCTCCCCAGATCAAATAGCACATCTCCAGTTTCTTATTATTACTGGGTGCTCTGCCTTCACCTTGTTCCAACGTACCTGAAATGGAACTCATCGCCTCCTGTCACAATTCCCCGCATACTGTGGCCAGGCTCTTCTTAAACCACATCATTCATCACACCAATTAGGTGTGAGGGAAATGGGGGGCGGGGGGAGGGATTAAACAAGCACAAATCCAAACTCCACAATCCATCACTTAGATTCCACTATAATGGAAGCTGAACCTATTTTCCATGGACTTCTCCAACATGACTCTTCCACGTGAATCAGACTCTACTACACAATATACTAGGTATATTTCTACTTCTATATCTCTACTGAATGCCCTCTTTCTGCCTGAATCCAATCTTTTCTCCAAACCCCAATTAAATGCTTCTGCCTTTAGAAAGCCTCCTCTCATTGTATTCCTGGTACGCTCTCCTTGTATTCCTATTTGCAGTCCAACATATACTGAAGGTCTACTTGGTACCGGGCATTGTGCTACACACTAGCTATACAAAGAAAAAATTAGAGTCTCTGACTCTGACTCATGAACCTCACATCAAACTGGTATGGAAAGCACACTGAAAAACGAGTGGCTGAAATTCCGTGCAATAAGTATAATAGACATAATACAAAGGACAATGGTTGAACAAAGGAGAGAGTAATCAGATCTGCTTGGAGGGGGTATTAGGAAAGACCTCACAGAGGACCAGGTAGCATGTTCTTTTTTTGTTATTGTTGTTAATCCTCACCCAAGGATATTTTTCTGTTGATTTGTTTTTTTTTCAGATAGAGTGGAAAAGAGGGGACATCAGTGTGAGAGAGATACATTGATAGGTTGCCTCCCGCATGACTCTGACTGTTGCTGGGAATCGAAACTGCAACCGAGGTACGTGCCCTTGACCAAGAACTGAACCCACACCCTTCGGTTCATAGGCCGACACTCTAACTGCTGATCCAAACCAGCCAGGGCCAGGCAGCATGTTCTTAAACGATAAATATAATTTTTCCAAAGGGAGCTAAAATAGAAAGGGTAACCATTCCAGAAGAAGGAAACAGCATAAGAAAGGACCGTGTGTGAAGTAACATTTCCACCCAAAGAATAAATAATTTTGTATAGGGACATAGTTTATAAAGGACTAACAACAAATAAAGATGCCATACAAAGCAGTTTCAAAGTCAGGGAGTAGGCAATGGGGAAACAATGAAAGAGTTGCAAGCAAGGGAACAGCAGGGACAGCTTTACAATTCGGTCAAATCCCCTAGGATTAGAGGAGTGGTCGACTGGGTGAAGATAGAGACTAGAAGGAAGAAAACAATACAGATCACTGTAACAGTCCAATAACTATGATGAGGACTTGAACTAAGGTAGCTACAGATATATAAGACAGAAGCATCAGAATTTACTCATTTGAACGTAGTACATAGAAGAGAGGAAGAAAATAGAGTAACTGTAAGTATTCCAGCCTTGATGACTAGATGGTGGGATTATTCCAAACACTAGGAACCATGGAAATGGTAAGTTGAGAGCAAGACAGAGAAGATGGAGAAGACTTCAGTAAACCTGTCGGATAGCCAGGTAAGCAAATGACAGTTCCACACTTCAGTATGTGGCTCTTCTTTCTTTGAGAATAGGAAACACGCTTTACCATTCTTAGAATCACCAAAGCCCAGATTCAGTAACACAATACACTAAATTTGGATAAAAGATCACTATGCCTGGCCGACATGGCTCAGTGGTTGAGCATCAACCCATGCACCAAGAGTTCACCGGTTCAATTCCCAGTCAAGGTACATGCCCAGGTTGTGGGCCAGATCCCCAGTGGGGGGCATGCAGGAGGCAGCCAATCGATGTTCTCTCTCATCGATGTTTCTGTTGCTCTCTCTCCCTCTCCCTTCCTCTCTCAAATCAGTAAAGAAAAAAAATTTTTTTTTGTAAAGATCACTATATAAAGGCAATAGATAGCAAAATATACCTATGTGAGAATGATATCTAGCCCAATAAAAGAGAGGGGTATCTGCAAAAGACAGGGTTTGGATATTCTCCTTCCTATTAGAAGAGGAAGAAAACCCAAAAACCTATTAGAATTACCTAATATAAACTATTAACCTAAAAATGTTGCTATTAACACTTTACAACTGTCAAAGAGTGTCTATAGGGCACTATATATAATATATATATAATTAAATAAAGTTTTATCATGAAATACAACTTCAAAGCATGCCTAGCAATAAGACTCAGTTAAAATTATGTGAATGAGAAACGGAAGGCTCCTATCTTTATCAACCCAATACTGACCTCTAGTGGGCTACAGGAATATATACAAATGACCTTTAG